AAGATGAATTTTAGTTCTCTATGCCCCCCTTTTGGTCTCTCACCCGAACAAATACGCCTTGTTACTTTATTATTCTTTTTTTTAAGAAAAAATACTAGTATTACTCTTTTTGTCACTGTATGCATTCACTGTTTGACACGTAAACTTCACTATCTCATTTTATATTTAAATAATAATATATCATGTTAGTGAGGTCTACGTGTTAAATAGTTAATACAGAGAGTAATAAAGCAAGTGACAGAAAAAATAACGTTAGTCATACAGGTGGTATGCGCAATGAACATACAAAGCATTTTCATACACGTTTTTCACTTTGGCATGTTGTGATTTAATACATATATGGACTATAATTAAGGAATTTTTAGCGGTGAGGCAATAATTTTATGTGACTCGTTTGTGATTAAAATATTTACCCTAAAAATATTTAAATTAAATGAGAGTTATTCAGAGAATTAAAAATAATAGTTTAATAATAAATTAATAAAATTCGACCGGTCCTTCCTTCTCAAGTAAACTTCCTATTAGTCCTTATTCTAAAAAGAAAAAAAAAATCCTATCCGTTCTTTAAAAAAAAGAGAATAACTTGTTGGTAAGTTTTCAAATAGATATCAATGAAAGGTTAGAATGTTTATGAATTATGACTTTTCTAAGAGTCGTAACTTTTTTTTTTTTTTTGAAGTGAAATGTATTGCATTAATTAAAGAGAGGCTAAATCGGCGTTAACAATATTCAGAATACAATCAGAAATTTCTTCTAGCCAATGGCGATCATAATCTAATAAAAAGTCGTATCTTTTTTAATAGACATCCGTAAAGTGTTATGTTTTCTAATAGGCATCATAGTAAGTTGTACAATTATTCATGATAAATGTTTTATGAACCAAGCAGTAGTTTGGGCCATATAAAATGTTCATATTTTAGGAACAAAGTTGATCAGTGTTATAATTTTAAGAAATGATAACATCACTTATTTTGTCATTCGTTTTATCACTCTCTTTAATATTTGACACGTAGACTTCATTAACATATTATATTATTATTTAAATAAAAAATAAGATAGTAAAGTTCACATACTGAACAATGAATAAGGTTGTTGTTCATAAACCCATAAGCCCAACCCACCCCACTCCAACTCAGCCCGAAAAATACAATTTCTAATATTAATTTTTTTTTTCAGCCCATTTAATGTCTGGCCCAAAGTTTTGAGGCGAGATGTGGGTTAGGCCTATAATGGCCCGCACACCCCAACCTAACTCGCGCTCTAACTTGCCTCCTCTAATATCTAACCCTAAGCATGCAACTCATTTCTACTCTCTAATTTTTTCATGTTTGAATTAAGCTCCTATGTATGCTTTATGTTAAGACTAATTTATGAGTGTAGACTAATTTATGTTTGCTTTATGTTTGATGTTGGATGGACTATTTTGCTTCATGCTTGATGTTGGATTGAACTTTGAATTTCTATATGTTTGAATGTTAGAGTTATTATTTCTATTTGATGATGAACTTTGAATGTTAGATTGAGCTTTGAGTTTTTGATTCTTTAAATATTGAAACCGATCACCCAATCCACCCCGCACTGCCCCAACCCAACCTAAACATTATTGGGTTGTTAAATTTTTCTAACATCGTTGGGGTCAGATATGTGCAATCCGCACCCTTTAGAGCGGGGGAAGAAAATACTCTGCCACATACCAACCTAACCCATGAATAGCCTTAACAGTGAACACAGAAAGTGATAAAGAGAATGACAAAAAGAATAATGTTAACATTTCTCTATAATTTTTTTAAAAAATGAAAATTTTACATGGTGCAAAACGAAAGTAAGATTTATTAACCATTTGATAAAATTAACTGACGGATCTATAAATGTTTATGTTAAAAATATTGCACCATTGAAAAAAAAAAAATTACTTCCATTATGAATCAAATTGTAAAAAAAAAAAAAATTCTTTTGAAAACATTAAATTGATGTTTGGTTAGAATATTCAAACCATAATTTGAATCATGGTTCATGGTTCGTTATATTATTTTTTCTCACAAAAAATATACGTAAATCGAAAATGATTCTAATCACATGATTATAATCTATGAACTAAACGTCTCTTAAATTTAATCAAATACGAGTCGGAAGTGAACACTGAACACGAGTTCGAAGTGAACAGTTAACACGAGTATTTGACATTGTATGGGAAAACTCTTTTTTTGTTTTTTCTTTTGACATATTCATGGTTCGTTATATTATTTTTTCTCACAAAAAATATACATAAATCGAAAATGATTCTAATCACATGATTATAATCTATGAACTAAACGTCTCCTAAATTTAATTAAATACGAGTCGGAAGTGAACACTGAACACGAGTTCGAAGTGAACAGTTAACACGTGTATTTGACATTGTATGGGAAAACTCTTTTTTTGTTTTTTCTTTTGACATGAGTAGACGGAAAAGTCGTTGGTAAAGCAATCGCTGCCTAGGTTCATGACTATCTCCAACCTAATTGTTAATTCTAATTGTATATTCAGTACTAAAAAATATACTAGCATATGTTATTTCATTTATGATCTAATGTAAAATGCTATTGAAATGTTATTTCTATTTTTTATATTAATCTTTATATATTCTTTACATTTTAAAAGTTGAAAAATAAACTTTTAATTTTAAAATAATTTAAAAAATAAAAGTTGTAATGATAAAATGAAAAATAAACACATTGGAATGAAGTGTCAAATTGGTTATATGTTATACTTGATGAAAATTTATCACAAAGAATAGCATATGCTAAATTTGACAAAATAAGTAGCATTACATTAGAGAATATTTTTTACACTTTAATATTAAATTTACAATTAACACACTAATTAGACTTATAATATTATATTAGAGTTGCTCTTATATTGAAAAACAAAACTTCATAAACAATCTTTTTTTTTTTTTTGATAATTTCTTGTTATCCATAAAGGGATATGGATACCTTGAGGTGAAAATATATATATATATATATATATATATATGGAAAACTGAAATCATTGAATCAAGCCAAGTAAAGTTCTCGAAAAGTTGTGAGGAAATGAACATGTTTGACCAGGAAGAGTGGAGTAAGATGTACTCTCTAGGTGAACCAGTTATTGTGTGATGCTCAATAAAACAGTTATCTCTTAAATTAAATGTCTTATCTTAAATGATGCCTAATTAATGAAATGTTAAATTGGTCATATACTATAATTGATAGAAATAATGGCCTTGTTCGGCTAGAAATTCTTCTTATGTCACTAAAAGCTCGTTTAATTTATGTGTTTAAATTTATCGTGGTGGGGGACCATTTTGAATTTTTTTTTTTTCAATTTTTGTTTTGGGTTTTTTTCCAAGATTAATGCCACCGTCTTATCTTAAATGATGCCTAATTAATGAAATGTTAAATTGGTCATATACTATAATTGATGGAAATAATGGCCTTGTTCGGCTAGAAATTCTTCTTATGTCACTAAAAGCTCGTTTAATTTATGTGTTTAAATTTATCGCGGTGGGGGACCATTTTGAATTTTTTTTTTTCAATTTTTGTTTTGGGTTTTTTTCCAAGATTAATGCCACACTGCATTAGTGCCGCTCGTCATCAATGACTTAAAGGGTTGAAAGGTGATCATTTGTATCTTCTCATCTCGTGAAGGCAAAAACAGGTCCCACGGGCTGAAATAAAAATTGAAAAAGTCCTAGGTTATTTATGAATTTTATTTAACAAGAGCTTTTTTTTTTAACTTTTTTTTTTCCTTTTTTTGCTAAAAGAAATATGTAGTTCTTCAGCCTCCCAAACGAGAACTACAGTTATGATGTATGAAATTTCTAAATCATATGTTCTTAAATCTTATGTATAATCAGCAATTAATTTTTGGCCACCTCTACGGTCAATCTCAAGAAAAACCAGAGGTGGAATTCATGTGCTCGTTTTAAAATAATTTTATTTTTTGTATGAAAATAGAAATGAAAACTTTTTTAATTTCGGACAGAAATTATTTTTAAAAGTGCGTTTGTTAGTTTTATCAAGAGATTATTTTCAGTATAAAAAAAAACTCATTAGTGTCCCTCTCTCTGCTCGAGAGATGAGAAAACAAAAATAAAAAATAAAAAACGACTAAAAGTCATTTTTTCATTTCTCTCTCATTTTACACTAAACCAAAAAATCGTTTTCATTTCTGTTTTTTATCTTTAACTATGCCAAACGCCGTTTTGAAATCGTTTTCATTTTTTCCTTCTCAAAAAACGTGAAAAATAAAAACAAGAACAATTCCAAACACAGCACATATTTTTAACCGTTAGATTAATTTTTTAACGTTCAAATCTATACATGTCTATATTAAATCAACCTCTACAGTAGAATCCCCAAAAAATTCCGCGGATGAGCCTTGTTCTTTTACCGTGTCAGATTTACAACAAGAGAAATTTCGAACGGCGCATTATAAATTTTTTATACAGATCTAACCTTTAAAAAATTAATTCAATAATTAAAAAACATGAGTTCCACCTGTAAAAGTTTTCTTTTTTAAGTCTCGCACGGTAGAATTTGCCGACAAGTTGGAGCTACATAAAGCGAATCTCTTATTTTCTTCTTTTCTTCTTTTTTTCATTTTTTATTTTTTCCTTTTTTCTCTATTTATGCGGAACCAATACAAATACTCGGCTCACTTTTTGAATATAAATATATACCAACTCATAATTGGTCAGCTTTTTCGATGCGGATTCAGATAAACAAAAAGGGTCAGTTTAGCATTATATTATTTCTCTTTCAAAGGTACTTTAAAAGTTTTTAACATATATTATTCGAAGCATATATAGTTTGGAGAAAAGATTTGATGACCGGTTCAAAAAGTGTTTCCATTGGATGGAAATCACATCCCCACACATGGAATCACTTTGTAGAACTAAAGATGCATATTTTCCAACATAACCGCGTAAAGTATACTAAGTCCAACTTTAATCTCCTCTACTTCTATCATTTCACTCGGCAAATCTCTCTCTCTCTCTCTCTCTCTCTCTCCCCAACATATTATAGTCTTTTTCCACCTCTATATATATACATAATAACAAACCAAATAACCAACAGACAAGTAACCAAAAACCATATTCAGCAAAAGAAAAGAAAAAAAAAAGTAACCAAAATACACAATGCAAGAACTGCCACCGGGTTTTCGCTTTTATCCGACCGAAGAAGAGCTGGTTTCCTTCTATCTGCTCAACAAGCTGGAAGGAAAACGAGAGGAAATAAATCGAGTAATCAATGTCATAGACATTTACGGCATAGAACCATGGGATCTACCAAGTAGGAATCAATACAAAATATACATTATACTTTGCCGCTTTCTAGATAGATTGTGTCTAGTTTTGTTCTTAGTAAAAATAGATGCATGAAAGAGTTTTAGATTTCAATGGTTGGATAAATAAACTCGCTTGCATTTGCTTTTGCTGCTTGTTTTGCAGAGTATTCAGGAGAGCTGTGCCGTGGAGATACTGAGCAGTGGTTTTTCTTTACACCGAGACAAGAGAGAGAGGCCCGAGGAGGGAGACCGAATCGCACCACGGCTTCTGGATATTGGAAGGCGACGGGATCACCTGGCTATGTTTACTCGCCGGATAGCAAGGTGATTGGAGTGAAGAAAACTATGGTTTTCTACAAGGGGAAAGCTCCTACTGGCAGAAAAACAAAATGGAAGATGAATGAATATAGAGCGATCGAAGCAGCCAACCCAGATGGAGCTACTACTCCAAAGGTAGTTAAAAGCAATATATGCACGTGTTTTTTGCTTTAAAAAAAAAGTAAAGAATAATTGTGCGTAGTTTCAGCAATTTTATCTTTCATGAATCTAACAATTTCTATTCTCAACTCTTGTTAACCATGTCTTCTGTTCAGCTGAGGCATGAATTCAGCTTATGCCGAGTATACGTGATATCTGGGAGTTTTCGAGCATTTGACCGACGCCCATTAGAGGTGACGGGGGATCCACAACATCAAGGTGACAGAGCGGGACCATCTGCTCAGAACACCACAATGGTGGAGAAAGCTGGGAGTTCATCCGAAACTTCAAGCTCAGGAGACCTGGCTGATCCCCCGGGAGCTTCAGGAAGCAATACTGATTGGGAAATGAATGATGATCTAGAACAAACTTTTTTGGAACTGGATGAACTACAATGGCCCTAAATGAAGCCATTTTCTAGACTTACGCCAATGTCTGACAAAAGAATCAGAGTTCAGGAAGTAGATTTAGGCATGACTGTTTAGATGTATTAAGAGTTGAAATTTTTTTTCCCCTCTTCCTCCTTGGGTGAGTGAAGAATAAGTCAATAATGTAAGATTTCGTCTTTTTTTTTTTCCCCTTTTTTTCTTTTTGGCAATATCTAAAAGTAGGAGCATAAATTTTAAAAGGGAGAGTTGATGTAGCAAAACTGAGTCATGGATACCCACTTACCTCGTATCAGCTTTCAAGTTAGACTTCTGACAATATTTGGCTTCATAGTGTTTGAAGAGGACATCACAAGCTCATATTAAGGAATCTGTCGAAAGTTCAAAAGCTGGACTTGGCAGCCTGCAAGCAAACGAAAATTTGAAGCCGTAAACCATTAAAAGTAATAACAAAAAAAGACAACAATATGCAAGTTAAGCAAGCAGAATGGATGCTTGGTTAACTTTAGTAATTAAAACGAAAACCTGAACAAGAGAATTTGATTTTATTGATTCTGGGCGCTACAGAAGTGAAAATTTGATATAATTGCTCCTTATGGGCGTTGCAGTGCCACCCCTGCTGCCCGCAATGCAAAACCATGCCGTTTGCTTCTCCGATGCTCCGTTTTCCACCACGATTAACTTAGAGACACTCCTCTCAGAATATATGCAAAGAAATGCCTAGTAAAATTCTCTGCGAGATATGCAAAAAGTAAATTCTGATAGTTTATACAGACGGCCGCAAAACTTAACGCTGTCTCTGATTATCAACTTTGAGGCTCTCCAAAACACCATCAGTTCTCTTAGAGCCAAAATCATGAGGACATCGTGCACCAAAAATCTACCCTCTAATACAATATTCCATTGAACCAAAAAAGAATGAAACCGATAAATGCATCATTCACTTTTTACTACGGACAACAATTTTCTGTCGTATTAAAGTAGAACATAGATTAACCATATATGGATTGCAAAAACAATAATACTACATGTCCCAACTTTTATGCAAACTTTTTTAATCAACTGATGTTAATATCATTCTTTAATTGGTGAATCCCAAAGAATATAGCTGTAGAAACCAGTATGTTGCCAATAACATCTTTTGAAGAATGACAACTCCCCACATCTGTCTGTCAGTGTAAAAGAGTTTGGAACAAAAATTGAGACATGTAACAGTACTCATTGCACATAACCCAAGAAGTAGTCCCATTCAAAATGAAAAGGGGAAAAAAACACCAGAGTAAGGGAAAAAAGTGAAAACTATAAAATGATACTAGAAAAATAGGACACTGAAAGAAATGAAGGAAAAAAAAGGATTTCAATAACAATGGAATGTGCACTTTTTGAATGCTCTCTCGATAGAAAACAAAATTTGTCTATAAATCAATGAAGAATAACTGTGATGCTGATGAAAATAAAACCAGAAACGAGCTCGAACACAAGGAAAAAGGGATAAAAACTTATAAAGCAATCAAACCATTTTGACCAACTAGATATATGTTGACAAGAAAAGTCATGAGTAATAATGCGTGCAAAAGACTTGTTACATTGCTTAAACTAGCTTAATCATTAGTTTATCAACCAGAGCATCACAGACGAGACCAAAATACATCATGCAGAAGTAAGTCAAAAATAAAAGGAGGAAAAAGGAGAATGTAGTCAAATTTCAACTTCCACTGTATATATATATATATATATATATATAAATATATGAAGATATATATATGAAGATACTTTATATTGATGAAATCCAATACAAAGATATGAGAGCAAGGAGTCCTCAGGGAACAAAAAGAAATACAAGACAAAACACAAAAATGTCAAAAAATCTAACAACAAAACCAACAGGCTCAAAACAACAAATACAGGCTTGTTCGGTTGTATTTTTGAGTTATGGTGACTTGAGTGTAGATCTTGAGTACATCATTAAAGGCATAGCATTCTTGGTTCATTTAAAGAAATTCATCACTCATATTCCCCTTTTCAAAATCCCACTCTTTCTTTCAATGCCGAAGCTTCTTACAGTGATAACTCTTAGGGTGCGTTTGGAACTGTTTTTTGGTTGTTTTTGAAAACGCTTTCACACGTCTTTTGAGGCACGAAAATGAAAACGGTCTGCAAACCGCGTTTGTTTAGCAAATGTTTTAAAAACGAAAACGAAAACAAAAAACAAATTATGAAAATGGTTTTTGTGAAGGAAGTTAGAAAATGATTAGCAGTTGTTTTCCCTTTTCCGTTTTAATTTTCCAGTACTTACCAACAATGTTACATTAAATTATTTAATTATTAATTACTAATTATATAATATATTAATTAATAATTAATAAATAGATATGACTATAACTAATAAATAGATAGTAATTACTTAATTATTAATTATTATTAAATTATTATTAAATTTGTAATTTTATATTGATCATACAATATATCAAAGAATAGATAATTAAATAAATGTTTGTAACTAATTAACTAATTATTTAATTATGTAACTAAAAGTTAATTATTTAAATAGTAAATAGAATATTAATATATTATTTATATACTAATTATTTTTTCTTAATACACTTATTAATTACTTATAAACTAATAAATATGAGTACGTTACTAACAATCTAACATAGTAATTACTTATAAGTGATTATTAATTACTATTTTTAATTATTTAGCATACTAATTCATTATATATATAGTTTAATTACCAATGTACTCATTAATTATAATATATCCATTATTATTGTATTATTAATATATTAATTTTTATTTGCTAAGTGATTATCAATTATTAATTACTTAATATATTAATTTAACATTATTAATTACATGTACTCAAAACAAAATTTCATAAATATAACTAAATACGATTTTACTTTTTTACTATACTCAAAACAGTCTCTTTAAAGACTAATCAAATGTAATTTCAGACTCAGTCCCAAAATAATTCTCAAAACAATCTCATTTTTACTTTTGTATTGAAAACAAAATCATTTTGAAAACATTACCAAACATGCCCTTGATGTTTCCTGTAAATTTGACCTTCCTTTGTTGTGTCATTCCTGCCATGGCTACATAAATTCATACTTTCATTTATCCGTCACTATGCATGTTCTTAAGTAAAGAGTTCCTCTGCCTTAGAAGATGATTCACCCAATTGTATATTTTTTGAGACAATTTGTGGTCTTAACAAATTTTCTGCATAAGGCAACATCTCAAGTTCTCAACATACATCACTACGTACTTCTTAAGGTGCAATAATGATAACTCTTTCCTAAGAAGAAGAAGAGTAAGTTCTCCAGAATAAGAACTCTCCAATAGATTTGCAACCAACAGGTTTTTGTTAAGCACTTGTTTTCACCATTATCCATAAATGCAAAAGATAATTCATCAAATAAAAGAATAGACACAGAAATAGCAATGTTTAAAATTGAACACACCTCAGTAGAACATTAAAACTGTGCTTTTCCTTGACCATTTCGCATTGGGGCTAGCAGCTCATCTCTCTTATTTCTATCAATATTTTTCCTTCTTCTTCTTTGTTTGAAAAGATCAGTCCATTAGCTTCACATAATACTTTTTCTTGATACAGATGATTATGGTTCCCCATCTAATTCTTCAAAAATGCATACTTTATACGCTTATAAGGTGGTTTAACATAAACCTTCTTCCCTATTAAAAACCTTAATAATAGGTTTGCAATTCGGACATGTTGTCATAAAAAGCTGAGTAGCGTTCTATATTTTAACATACCTATGATCTACCTGATGGCAGCAGGTAATCCTCGGCTAGGCTAATACATAACCAAATATATTTACAATAACAATGTGATAACACCATCATGCTGTTAAGAGAATACCGGTCCAATGCCTAGAAAACTCTCTACATGAAAATATTTTGCCATTAGATACCATAACCAGCTTACAGCATTACATGGATTAATGTCAAGGAATTTCATTGCATCCATACTCGCTACAGAAGCCTTTAAAATTCCAGTGAAAATTTTGCATATAACATGAACATCAGAACACATGCTTTTCACTTGCTTATTGCCCTAGTGTTCAGAGCATCTGATCCTTTTATTTTTCCTTCAGGGCATTCAACTGAGAAAGGAGACGTATAATTCCTATGTGGCTTAAACAAAAAGGCTTTACTTCATTTTAAAGCTAAAAATGATACATAGATCCTTCTTGTACGTCAGAACTTAAAGAATCTAACAAAGACTGAACATTTCAGAGGTTAAACATAGATGCATACAAAAATAACAGACCAAGTAGAATACCAAACAGTGGCAACCAGTTCTTTATCAAATCTTCAATTACTGTTCAGATTTTTAATTTAAAAAGCAACTCTTTCACCAAAGTCAACTTTGGTATAGAGAGAAAGCAATTTTCTTTCATTTATTTTCTAGCAAAGAAAAAGGGTGGGAAAGACTAGTTCCATCCTGTCTCAGGGCCACAAAGGAATAAAAGGATTCTACTTACAGGATGGGCTCAATTTCACTCCCACAACAAGAAACCTAACACCGCACAACCCATTTACCTGGACAGGTTCCTCAAAGTGGGGCTATGGAATATCAAACTTTAAAACTCATTCTGAGAGTAGAATAAGGAAAGACATCCTAACCGTTGCATCACCTATCAAACTAATTGGCGGTTAGAGATCAAGCAATTACGCGGTTGAAAATCACATTAGGAAAAAAGACCCCACTAAGTCAAAAGCTCAAAAACAATTCAATTACAACAACAACCCCAAAATAGAAGCTCTAATGTCAACACCACATGCTTTCACTTATTCACTATGTTCACATTCACGTTCCCTTTATAGAAACAACAGATACCAATCATCGAAAACTTTCTCGCCAAGTAAAATGCATTGAATACAAGAAACCTCATAGGGTCCATTTGTTTCACGCATTTGAATTCATGATTCTGAATCTGTTATAGACACTTTTCTCTCACAAAATATGTTCCGTCAATGGGTTTTCTACAAAATTTAAATTCAGAATCAAAATTGCGTGAACCGTTTGCCAATGATGTCACCCACGAGGTCAAAGAAACCAGAATTGACTCTTGAATATAAAAAACTACCCCCTTTTTTTTCTAAAGTAAAATGCAAAAGGAACGAATTTCGTTACTTAACTTTCCTACATTTTCTGCAGACTTTCCTACGTTTTCTGCATTTTCCATTTTTTCCACTTTTTTTTTTTTTATGGAACCCAATATCTACCAACCACAGAAGAAGAAAGAAAAACAGTGAATCAAAATAATTGAAACTTCACTATCACCGTCTTGTTAATGAAACAAAAAAAACTGAACCCATATGCATTCCGAGATGGAAAGCGAAATAACAATGCAATCTTACTTTATAAGGGGGGAAAAAAGGACAAAGATATAGCAGATTTCAGAGTGAAACACAGACGCATTAATTTTGAAAATAGATTAAAAAGGGAAAACGGGAAATACCTCCGTTCTTCAGCTGTGCCTTTGCCAAAAAACAAAAAAATGGAAACTGTAGGCGAGAGAGTAAAAATCGAAAGAAATGTGCAGAGAAATACCTTTGATCCGAGCGGAATTAATAGTGAATGTGACTCATCGTGCTATTTGAACGGAGCGGGTCATTCGCACGACCCATATGTCAAGAACAATGCAATGACTATTGGGCGGGCATTAGCTAAAAAAATAAAAAATAAAAAAATAACTATTTTGGTCCCGTTCTTTTCGCTGATTCGAGTTTAGAATTCGAGTTTTGTTACAGTAAAAAGCTCTCAGAAACAGTCACATCTAACTTTTACTACAGTAAAAAGCTCTCACACAACATTACATTTCAACTCGAATTAGCAA